GAACTTTGTCCACATTTTTTTACAGGGCTTTTTTCACGAGATGCTCTCCAGTGATGTTTGTCCGTACAACATGTAAAATCATAATGGGTAGAACCTTTTTCTTTCTTAGACTAGAAAAGAATGCAAAACTACAATCCCTTATATACCCTAATCAGTGGATTTACTCTGACAGAGAAACACCATAAACTGGTATTTAGCTATACTGAGCAAATTTACCTTTATGTTTGGTACCCAAATGGTAGACGTACACAGAAGTTTCTGCTCAAGTCTCTGGTATATAATAAGCTTTTTTTTTTTTAAACCAACATGACATTTCATTCCAAGAATATAATACTATTATTTCCTATCGTTTACAGACATTGTACATCTTCAGTACTTTAGTAAAAGCTTTATGTCACCAAGTACCTGGAGAGCTATGTTTCACAAGAGAGAGCAAGCGCTAACCTCAACAAATGGTACTGACTTGTAATATATTAAAGACCCAGTTGAAAGTTTTTCAAAATGCTATTAATTTTAACACCAATTTTGTAAAGGTTGCCAAACTGGTATTTTTGTATGCCCCATGTATATTAAGCCAGTTGTATAGAACAGAAAGCACTGTATAAAATTACCACATTACTAATGTCCTTGCGATACATCCATGACTTCTCTCCCGCCAGCAAATGCTTGATCTTTTAAACTACAAATCCTGAGTAGGCGATGGCAGGTGGGCATTTTAAGTAGGAATCCAGATCTTTTTTTGTGGAAATTATACTAGAATACAAATTATGTATTCTCCGAAATTCAAAAAAGGGGTAATTTTTACAACTGTGCATTGTAGTAGCATGCTTGTAATACATCACAATAGATTTATTTAACAAATGGGTGACCTATCCCCTTATCTAACATCACGATGTAGCTCAGGTGCGTGAAACTAAAATAAGCACAAGTTGGTTCAGCATGTAGATCGCTGAGTCTAAGTTTCAAATATAAAAGGAAAGCAGTGAAAGAAACTAGCTGTATCAGCTGGTGTCCACGTAGCCTTGTGATCTGGTTGGGTGCTCCATTTTAATCTATTCCTGAAATCTTTCTGTGTACAACCTTTTATAGGATAGCCCCATAGTGGTACAGCTGCATAGTCATAGGTTTTAAATGCTTGGCTTTGTGTTTATAAAAAAAACACATGCTTCCCTGTCGCTATCTAAATTCTTCGAGCTTTTCCACGAGAGATTGGTGATATTACACTCTCTAATAAATCACATTTTAGTAAAATACATTTTATATCAATAAGAATTCTTAATCTAGCAAAAATGATTTGTGTATTCTCAACATGCATACCCCAGAATGTACCTGAAAACTAGCCATTACTTCCTGGTTACATCATATAGTACTTTTGAACTATACTCTGTCCAGCTGGGATGGAGAGGTGTTCTACTGTAACATCCATAGAGACTTGGCCAAGGCAGTCGGGAGTACAATTAACTTGGCATTTTGTATTATGTTTTAATAAAAGGGAAGGAATAGAAAGAGACTGACCTTTCACTCGAAGAGCTGCTTTTTGAAATTAACCATTTAATGTTAAGATTTAATTACTAAAATGCTAAACTTTTACTGAAAAAGAGAGAGATTGCAAGTTTCCTTATAATGTGCTAAAATAATTTCCCCAAACTGTAGGGCAGGTAATCTATTTATCAGGGTTATGTATAAACAATGAATTGGGAGTAGAGCTGTAAAAGTGGATTAGGCACCATGGAAAAGAAGGAAAAGCTGTTCCTGATTGCTCCCCATATTCCTCATAAATGATTCTTCTAATCCTGAGCTCAGTAAGTGTCCTGAAACGTTGTAACCTTATTCCATCATTAATTGCAGTAGTTGTATTTTGTCTAGTTGAAGTCAGTGGATTGTGTGTAAAATGATTTTAATGAACTACATCTTTGAGATTTTACAAAATGACAGCCTTTCTAAGATCACTATGATCTACATGGCTTAGAGATTTTATGTCTACATTTTATATGGGCCCTACAAATATTGGTAAAAAGAGAATCCCAAATGTTATCCTATCTTGCACATGATAATATGATCAGTAAGTGAGTGCTACTGCATGCTAGAGGTCAAGGCAGGGCCATGCTGTAAATCAGATGTTTTGCTATATTCATCAGCTCTCATCTCACGGTAGGGCCATGATTCTCATTATCAAGAAAAATAGAAAACTGATTGAGCACCAGGGAATCCCTTGTGGGATTTAGAGGATTGTTGGACTTGTGCTCCTGGGTAACAGTCTAATATAATATAATGGATATAGTTTTCCGTTGATTTTGTTTCTGAATGCCTATCTCTTACAGATTAAAATTCCAATATAGTTTACAGGAAACACATCAATTACATTACTTACAGTTCTGAGTGCCCCAGCCTGAAACAAAGTATGAGTGAGGGAAATCCTGTTGGCTCTCAAAATATGCTGGTGACCTGGAATTCATGTGGTCAGTCCTATATATTGAATATTATTTAGCTGTTGGTAAAACGGAGCAATTCATGCTGTGACTTCCTACCCAGGCAGCTGGTAATTATTGAGATTGCCCAAAATAAGGGAAAGATCAATTTGTGCAGTGCTCTGCTTTGTGCAATGCGAAATTGCCATTATAAACATATTTTGAATCCTAAAATGACCCATAACATTGAGAAATATATTTGAGTTTTATATGGATATGGGAAAGCAGGAAATGAAACAAACAAGATCAGACCTAAACACAATTTCTATACAACAATACCATCTGTGACCAAACAGCCAATAAGCACACTTTATTCTTACACAAAATGATTTCCACCCCTGTATCTCCCTATACAAACATTTTAACTTTGTACGTTTTTACTGGCTTTGACCTGTATACTGCAATCCAAGTGCTGCAGATGTTTTTTATGGTAGTCTGTCTTTGATGTGATATGATTTAATCAAGTAGTCAGTTTACAAAAAAAAAAGGATCTTCGAGCACTGGATTATACACCAATATCCTGCTCTAGCCATCTCCATGGGAACAAACCATCTGACTGTTTTTAACAATCTTAAACACAGGGTTAAAACAAGCCACGCACTTGCAGCCCTTCCCATCCTTACTGTATATAAAGGCTTGTGGATATTGACTTGTTGATTCTCATAGACTAAGGGGTTTAATCTCTAACCTGCGCTTAGTGGACAAATGAAAACCTATATTTTAGATCATCATGGCAAAGTTGGAAAATAAATGCAGCTATTCTGACTTTCACGCTATAATTTTGGAATGTTGTTTTCAATGCACCATGTATTATTTTTTAAATGGCGCCAATTACCTATTCTGGAGTGTTAACAACCCTTAAGCACTGATCTGCCCAAAAAGTCCTAAACTGGTTAGGTGCTATGTGTTACCACTGTCTAATCCCAGAACACGAAAACTGCAAATATCAATGGAGAATAACTTTGACAAAACCCCACCAAAAAGAGCGCAAATGATCAACAAAATTACAAAGTAGCCAGAAGGGCTGATGACCCAGCATTACACCAATGATGACTCCTGTTTTGTTATTTCAGTGAAGTACAAAGAATCCTACCAACTTGCCTAACTACCTTACACTCTATGTCCAATACTTCACTTCACAATAGAACTGGTTTGAAACATCACCTTTGATAATTCCTGTGATTAATGGATGCCACTGCTAGCTTGCTTGGAAGGGGTATCTTGCTTTCCATAGCCAGAAGGTGTGGTGTATGTGTGATTTAATATACTATAAGGCAATTTATCTTCCCCATCCCTAAATGCAGTTGAGTGTTGGAAAAACGCTATAGCGGATTTTAATTTTACATTTTTTCCTCCCAGTATTAGTTTCTAGGTTGGAATAGCAAACCTCTTCTTTTCAGGTGCTATCAAGATGACCAGTTACTGCTTAGTTAACTAGGTGTAAAGTTTTACATATATTAATTAATGTCAATAGTTTTAATACAAGTTGTGCAAAAATGGACTTTAGCTTCACCCCTGAGAAGACAAAACGTTGCAGCTAGCATTGCATTAATTCTGCAATATGCTGGTCAATCGTCTTTGTCAGCAAAGGGGTTAAATAATTTAGGTTGCTCCTAAACCTAACTATAGAGCATGTAAAATTACTATTTTTTTTTTTATTCTGTTCATCTGTAATCAATGAAACAAATATGTATGTTGTAGAAAAGTTGCAGGATTTTTCAAAAGAATTCTGCCATTAATTTATTCTTTTTGTATTAAGAATTTGTATAGTACCTTTACATTTTGCAAAACAGTGTTGACACTTCCTTAATAAAGCATTTTTAAAATGAAAGATACCTTTGTTTTATTTATTTTAATCTGAAAGGTTATGGAAGACATCCTGTCCCTCTGTGCATTTAGATTTATGGACCTGGGTTTTCTTCATTCGTTACATTATGGCAGAGAGTTTGATCATCGTCTAAGACGGGTTCCCAACCCGTACAAATCAGTGCATCAGGGGGTACGCAAAATGATTAGGTAATGGCAGCCGTACGGGTTGGGAACCTGGCCATCAGGCAAACCGCCGCAATTGCCATGGGCCGACAGGGGAGATCACAGGATCTCCCCTGCCAGCCCTATCTGGGCCAGCACTATCCGAGCACCGGCCCATGCTGTGTGCCTTCATGGGCCAGTGGGGAGATCAAAGATCTCCCTCACCAACCCTGACAGGCAGCCTGGAGAGGGAGGGAGGAGGTCGGCAATTCTGAGCTCCGAGGATCTCGCGGGAGGACTGAACTCTGCCTGCAACCAGAGGAGCTGCAGGCAGGATAGAACTGCTTACCTCCACAGGACCACCCTGGGGAAAAGGTAAGGAGAGGGGACATACAGTTTATTAATATATTTTATTTTAGTAATAACTTGTTTGGTTGCATTACTCCTATTCCTTCCCCAATATATAGGCACCCCCTCATCAACCACACATTGCATCCCTCCCACACACAGAGCACTCCTGTCACACATACACAGCACCCCCCACACACACGGCATCCCTCACACACACACACAGAAGCACAGCACCCCTCACACACACCACCTCTCACAGACACAGCACCCCTCTCTCACACACACACACACACACAGAGCAATGGGAGCGGAGGCTAAGAAAATGTTTATGCACACACAGCATCCCTCACATACACACAGAACACCCCTCACACACAGCACAGTGTCTGTCAGGGTGTCTTTGTATCTGCATGTGTGTCAATGTGTGTCAGGATAAGTATCTGTGTGTGAGGGTATGTATCCTTAAGTGTATTAGTGTATGTATATATGTGTCTGTGTATCTGCATGTTTGTCAGTATAGGTATCTGCATGTGTGTCTGTGTATCTGCATGGGTGTCAGGGTGTGCATCTGTTTGTCAGATACATACACTGACACACTTAAGGATACATACCCTGACACACACCCTGACACACATGCAGATACAAAGACACAGATACATACACTGACACACTTAAGGATACATACCCTATATTTCTTTGTGTCTGCATGTGTGTATCTGTATGTGTGTCAGAGTATGTATCCTTTAGTATGTCAGAGTATGTATCTATGTGTCTGTGTATCACTGTGCATCTGCAGATGTGTCTGTGTATCTGCATGGGTGTCAGAGTGTGTATCTGTTTGTTTGTCAGGGTAGGTGTCTGTATGTGTGTGTGTCAGTGTATGTATCTATGTGTATTTGTATCTCCATGTGTATCTTTAAGTGTGTCAGTGTGTATCTGCTTGTGTGTGTATCTGCTTGTATGTCTGTGTATCTGCATGGGTGTCAGTGTGTCAGGATATGTCTGTATGTGTGTGTCAGTGTATGTATATATGTGTCTGTGTATCTGCATGTGTGTCAAGGTATGTGTCTGTGTTTTAGGGTGTGTATCTGTATGTGTGTCAGGGTATGTATCTGTGTGTCTGGCACACAGATACATACCCTGAAGCACAAACAGATACATATCCTGACACACATACAGATACTCACCCTGAAACACAAATACATATCCTGACACATATGCAGATGCACAGACAATAGATACATACACTGATACACTTAAAGATACAGACACTGAACACACCCTGACACACATGCACATACGTAGACACATAGATACAATCACTGACATACCGATAATAAGTATCTGCATGTGTGTCAGTGATTGTATGTGTGTATGTATCTGCATGTGTATCAGTGATTGTATATTGTGTGTCTGTATCTGCATGTGTCAGTGATTGTATATGTGTGTTTATGTATCTGCATGTATGTGAGTGATTGTATATGTGTATCGTATCTGCATGTGTGCCTGTGCAACTGTATGTGTGTCAGTGTTTGTATCTGTGTGTCTGCATCTGTGTGAGTGTCAGTGCTTGTATCTGTGTGGGTGGGGAGCCTGGGGCAGAGGGAAGAGCATGGGAAGCCTGGGGCTGAGGGGAAAGCAGGGAAAGCTGCGGGCAGAGGGAAGAGCCTGGGGCAGAGGTTAATGCAGGGAGAGCCTGAAACAGAGGGAAGAGCAGGCAGAGCCTGGAACAGAGGAAAGAGCAGGCAGAGCCTGGAACAGAGGAAAGAGCAGGGATAGCTTGGGGCAGAGGGGAGAGCAGGGAGAGCCTGGGGCAGAGTTAAGAGCAGGAAGAGCCTGGGGCAGAGGGGAGAGCAGGTAGAGCCTAAAACAGAGGAAAGAGCAGGGAGAGCCTAAAACAGAGGAAAAAGCAGGGAGAGCCTGGGGTAGAGGGAAATGCAGGAAGAGGCTTGGGCAGAGGGGAGAGCATGGGGCAGAGGGGAGAGGATGAAGAGCCTGAAACAGAGGAAAAAGCAGGGAGAGCCCGAGGCAGAGGGAAATGCAGGAAGAGCCTTGGGCAGAGGGAAGAGCAGGAAGAGCCTTGGGCAGAGGGAAGAGCAGGGAGAGCCTGGGGCCAAGGAGAAGCAGAGGGGAGAGCTTGGGGCAGAGGAGGAGCAGGGAGAGCCTGGGGCAGAAGAGAGGCAGGGAGATCCTGCGGCAGTGGGGAAAGCAGGGAGAGCCTGGCACAGAGGGGAGAGCCTGGAACAGAGGAAAAAAGCAGGGTGAGGGTGGAACAGAGGGAAAAAAGCAGGGGGAGCCTGAAACAGAGGAAAAAAGCAGGGAGAGCCTGAAACAGAAGAAAAATCAGGGAGAGCCAGGGGCAGAGGAGAAGCAGGGAGAGCCTGAAACAGAGGAAAAAGCTAAGAGATCCTAGGGCAGAGGGGAGAGTCTGGGGTAAAGAGGAGAGCCTGGGGCAGAGGAAAGAGCAGGAAGAGCCTGGGGCAGAGGGAAGAGCAGGAAGAGCCTTGGGCAGAGGGAAGAGCAGAGAGGGCCTTGGGCAGGGAGAACCTGGAACAGAGGAAAGAGCAGGGAGAGCCTGTGGCAGAAGAGAAGCAGGCAACGCCTGGGGCAGAGGGAAATGCAGGGAGAGCCTGGAACAGATGGAATGCCAGGGACAATCTAGGGCAGAGGGGAGAGCCTGGGGCAGAGTGAAGAGCAGGGAAAGCCTGTGGCAGAGGGGAGAGCAGGGAGAGCCTGGGACATAGAAAAAGTATATATTTAAAATAACAGCAACTATGTTCATTACAAACATTTTGCGAATATGAGGGGTACAATGTATGGAGATAAACTGCCAAGGGGCACTCAAGTAAAAAAAGGTTGGGAACCACTGGTCTAAGACTATGCTTTGGTGTTAGCTTGTATTTGTGGCCGAATCCAGATCACCCATCTCCTGTACTGTTTTAAATGCTTGTAGGTAATCTGTGCCAGGGGATTAGAAAAGAAGTTCACAGAATACATTTTTCTCTAAAATAACATTTAAAAATGGTTCCATAACACTTCAAACCTCTATTCACTGAGCCTCCATTTGCTGTTGGCAGTCTTCCACGACAAGGTTTGTGACATTACCAACATCCAGGGCCGGACTGGCCCACTGGGATACCGGGAAATTTCCTGGTGGGCCGTGGCATCTGGGGGCTGCGCTGAGCATGTGTGTGCCTCTGGTGGCACACACTCTGAGGGGGCCGGTGGGCTGGCGGCCGCATTCCACACTGGAGCCGCCAGGGCCGGGTGGCAGGCACACCGGTCCGGCGGCCCTCCTCCTGTCACTGATAGCTGAGGAGTGAAGAAGGAGGAGGGAGGAGCATGTCTCTGTACCATGCTCCCTCGCGGTTCCTGTGCTGGGGATTGTGGGAACCGCGAGGGAGCATGGTACAGAGACATGCTCCTCCCTCCTCCTTCACTCCTCAGCCATCAGTGACAGGAGGAGGGCCGCCGGACCGGCGAGGCTGCCACCTGGCCGGGCGGCTCCAGCGTGGAATGCAGCCAGCCCCCCTGACTCCTCTCAGGTAAATGGGAGGGGGAAGACGGGGAATAAAGAGACACAAGGGGAGGGGGGAAATCAAACAGAAGGGGAATAGAGGGAGAAAGAGACAGAGGGGGAGAGAGACATGGGGGAGAGACAGGGAAAGGGGGGGAGAAAGAGACAGAGGGAGAAAGGAGAGAGACACAAGGGGAGGGGGAGACAGAGGGAGAAAGGAGAGAGACACACAAGGGGAGGGTGAGAAAGAGACAGAGGGAGAAAGGAGATACACACAAGGGGATGGGGAGACAGAGGGAGAAAAGAGAGAGACGAACAAGGAGTGGGGAGGAAGAGGCAGAGGGGAATAGAGAGACAGGAAAGGAGAGGAGAGACATGGACACAGAGGGGGAGGCAACAGGGCAACTCCCCCCCCCACGAGGCTCTCCCCTGCCAGCCGATCTCCCTCCCCGTTCCACAGCCACACATCCCACACACACCATACATATTTCCACACATTACCATATACACACACACACACACACCCATACACACTGCCCCCCATACACACATTGCCACACACCCCCCCCACACACATACACTGAACCTTTCACACACACACTGCACCCCTCACACATTGCACCACTGCTCCTACACCCTACTACAGCCCCATATCCCAGCAGACCCCAGGTAAGTTGTCAAACTGTTCTTAAACAGTTTGACTACTTACTCTGGGAGGGAGTCCCGGCACTCCTTGCACCATAACACCTACACAGAGCAGTAGTGGTTATTGTGCATGGATTATTTCTTTAAGTAATCTACAAGTGCCCCTCCCGGGATCAGGCTCTGGATCCAGCACTGGTATATGACATGTATATTAATGTGCATTAGTGATATATATATATATATATATATATATACCATATTTACACATATATTAATGTACATTTATATATGCATAATACACAGATAAATGTCATTAATATGTACCATTTGTAATGAGCAGATATTGGCCCAGTCTTATTGCTAGATGCAGACTCCATCACAATAACATAGTTAAAGTGAAGAGCGCACCCACAGGACTTCAAAATAAACAAGATAATGTCATTTTTTTACAGTTGTGCCCTACATACATTCACAATTTCAGTCCCATTACCAAGCTTTCCTTATGTCAAGGTAGTTGGACTGAAACATTAATTACATGCAAAGGCCTGTCTGCTTAACCCCTTAAGACCGGAGGGCATACTATTACGCCCTATTATAGGCGGCTCTAAACGCTGCCGGGCGTAATAGTACGCCCTCCGGTCTTTCTGTACTTACCAGGTCGCCGGCGATCCCACGCCGGCGATCGCGGTTGGGGGGACTCCCAGGGAGCCCCCCCGCAGCAGATCTTCCTCCTGCAGCCCTCCCCGGCCATGTGAGAGTGAGGACCTCACAATCACATGGCCGGGATAGCTGGCTGCAGCATTGCAAGCAGGGGGGGCTGCCTGTAATGACAGGTGGTCCCCCTGCTGGCTAGAAATAAAATTAAAATAAATTAAATAGTGTAAAAAAATAAAAATAAATAATATATACTTAGATCATATATATATTATATATATATATATATATATTATATATATGATCTAAGTATATATACACACACATATACATACACACACGTACACTGTCTAGGTGTATTTTACTATTAATATATATATAAATATATATATTAATATCAAATTACACGTAGACTGATACTGATTAAATATATATATATAATTATTGTTATATATATATATATATATATTTATATATAATATAAACAAATTTAATATGTAAATACGTTAAAAAATTAAATTAAAATTAAAAAAATAATTAAAAAATATATAGATGTGTGTTATTTCGTTCTAACTGTATTGTGATATTAATATATAT